ATTATGATGCGCCAAACAAAAGATGAGATGATTACAATTGATGACATTAAAATTCAATAAATAAAAACAAGTAGATAAATGTACCAAATCCAGAGGATGAAGTCATATAAACACAAGTTAAAAGCACATATTAAAATTCAAGACACAGTCTTCAAAATAAATTACATTAGGTAATAAAAGCCAATCTCTTTTAATAATAAAATAAATTACAATGACCTCTCTTCGGATTAAACGGTCGAGAGGTAAGTCACAGCTATTAAAATATTTCTGGCGAAGGACTATTAAAACATGTACACTCAATACACTCAATTAAAATATGACGAACAGATAAACAAACATTACAATTTAAACAAATAGGCTCATTCTCAGCTTTCAGAAGGATAGTTATGTGTGACTCTAGCGTGACCTAATTCTGAGGCGAGTTCAAAAGAACGTTCCTCCTTACGATTTCTTGCAAACTCCCAATGCTCAATTCTAGGCTTTACACGTTCTCAACTTGTTGTGACAGCTGAACAATCCCAAATTTGCTGCCATTTTTTAAGCATCTTCCCTTGATGACACAGCAGATGTCTCTAAAAGGGATAAGGCGAACTGGACGGTTCAACAGCATATTTGGCTGCGATGTCTGCAAGCTCATTTCCCTTTATTCCTGCATGTCCAGGGAACCCAGCTGTATAGTATTTCATATCCACGAATTGTTAAGTTTCTATTGAATTTTGAGTGCAACTCCAGATACCACAGGATTATGCAGTGTTGGGGAAAAGATTCCAAGGAACCTTCAAGAGCACTATACGAGTCTGTATAAACTAATGAAATGTTTTATAACTTAGCCTTCGAGATGTACAAAAGACCATAATATATTGCAGTTAGTTCAGATGTTAGGACTGAGAAAGCATAGGTGCAGGCAACTTTTGCCCTCTAATGTAATCTCCAATTACAAATGCCATCGCCGAACATGAATCATTTCACTTTGATCCATCTGTGTATATCGGATGATAACTGCTATATTTACGCCTGTGCTCAGCGAAAGACTTGTCTGTAAACGATCTCGTTAGTGCTTTGCCTTTACGTGATGGTTTGAAAACATATCGAAGAAGCTGGATCCGTGCATTTTCCCAAGGTGGAATTTCAAAATTCTGTACTGCTTGAGAGCACATATCAGAGAGGGAAAGTTCCTCAATGACAGGGCGAACTCTTAAAGGAAAAGTAGGAACAACAGGATGGACGTGTTTCATATAATGTGTTACACTCATTATCGAGTAAGCACAGCTTATTGGGATGTTCAGGTTGGGATAGAATATTAAAATATTGCAAAAGGGATAATTGCTCACGCCTCAGATAAAGTGATGGTTCGTTAGAGTCAACATATAGGCTCTGTACAGGAGAAGTCCTGAAAGCTCCTGAACAAATCCGCAGACCTTGATGGTGAACAGGATCCAGTTTTAACAAAACAGATGACCGAGCGGATCCATAAACAACTGAGCCATAATCCAGTCTAGAGCGGATAAACGCTCTGTAAATGCGAAGTATAGAGCAACGCTCTGCACCCCAGGAGCTGTTCGCCAACACTAAATAACTCAGAGATCTAAATTCACTAGTAAATTGGAATAAAAGCAAGGCAATTTCTCTATAATATAATAATTGCAACCGTGTATAAGAGGTTTAACACAATATCAGAAATTATCCAATTAAAGAGGGAAATCATAGTAGAACAATCTCGAAAAATAAAAATGCGAAAGGGAAAATATATAAAATTATATAAATAAAAATTAATCTCCTTATATTGACACTCCAATTCCGAATTCATCAGGGGGAAATGGTGCTACCGATTGCAATCAAAAAGGGAGGTGCACAACTTCATGTTATAGCAGTCTCATATACAAAAGGTGCACAACTACATGTTATAGCAGTCTCATATACAAAATTTTAAAGTTCTAAGGCCACTCGTTTTTTGAGTTATGGAGATACATACATACGTACGTACAGACGTCACGAAAAATCTCTACATCCATTTTGGGAAAAAGAGTCCTTTATTGTCTGTATGTACAGATTCTACGAAACATCTTTCAAATGCAATAGAGTGCGGTTTAATTTAATGTTCTGATTTGGTGCAATTATATTTAGATCAATAAAGGCAACTTTAATGCCATATTTTCTTAGAGGTTTATATTTTTTTGTTACAACACTCATCACAGCGCTTAATGGGATTAGCATTACAGAGGCAAGCAAGCAGACAAAAAATACACGTGTTCGTTGGCTGCCTGTTTGTTTGTGGTTTTGCAACGATAGAATTTTAATTCTAGTACCTTTGGTACTATTTCTTATTTCGATAAAGTATGGAAAACAATAAATTGGAAAATCAAAATTACATAACACAACCGATATTTTAACACAATAGAATTAAGTATATTGCAAGATAATTCAATATTTTGTACAGGTAAAAGTGTGCTTTGAAAGCCAAAAGGGAAATATTTAATAATAAGAATTTGTTTCACATAAAAAACTAGTTGAAAAATGATAAAATAAATATAAAAACAAAAGTTGTAATAACGTGTATCATAAGAAATAAAAAATGAAAATCATAAGAAAACTTCAGATATAGGAAAGCTGAAACAAAGCCAATATCGCACATTCATAAATTAATTTTATCCCCATATTTCCCTTTCATTTAAACACCGTAAGACAGTAGCAATAAAAAAAGAATAATATAACACGAAAATAATCAATGAATAATGAAATTACAATGACATCTTATAAATCAATGGCATACGTACATTTCCACTGCCTGCATTTATGACCATGCTGTTAAGCTTATGAATAGGAGTTTTTAAATGTAAATGTGTAGAGACATCAGGTTTGTCGAAGCAGTAAACATGAAAAATATGCAATGCCCTTGCCGAAATTCGAGCTCCGGAACTCTCGATTGCTAGCTGGGCGTGCTTCCAATTACACTATGAATGTGCACTGAAAGGAGAGGGCGAACTTTACAAATTTATAAAAGTTTAATTGATTAACTGTATAATTAATTAATTTCAAAGAAATTAATAAGTCTAAAATCAATTCATAAATTACATGTGAATCAGCAAGTAATCCATTATGCAGCTCCAGGATGTTTAGAATTAAAGTGTAAGCACTGGATTAAAAGATAAAACTGTTAATATGTTAATACTGTTAATAATATATCAATGTTACACTAAAGATGTGAATAAAATAATGGTAAGTCGACACAAAAGAACTTATACATACACGAAGAGATCCTGTTCATGTATATTATAAGGTATTTTACGCAACTAACCAATTATTATGATTTAAGCCTGAGGTATAATTTTTCTTTCCGTATTCCTTAACAGAATGCAAATTAGTTTTGCGTATTTAACGTAAAGGCTTTGAATGATTAGATGAGAACTTCTGTCCCGTTACTTACTCTGCTTAAATTTGTATTCCGGCTTTAGTGTCATGCAAGCCGAAGTTTTAAAAATGCACGTCGGTAAATAGCTGAGTCAGCCTAAATAGGTTATTTTATGTATAGTCTCGGTCTGTGTTACTTACACTGAAATTTAACATTCTATTATGCTAATTTAAATACCCGAAACGTAGCGGAAGTCCGTTGCCGTAGTAGCAGCTGTGTCTGTTCTATTTAGTTTAAGACTACGTAAAATACTTATTTTAACTATATAGCGATAACTCGCTGTCTACCTAATAGGATCTTAATAGGACTTTAGCTTCGAGTTACAGCAAGGCCATCCAGTATACACTATTGTTCGAGTAATTTTAAATAAAAATATATTCAAGAACTTTCTTAAATATTTCACGGAAATCATTAATAATGACCATTCCGTGAATTCATTCCCCAAATTAGAAAAAAACATTATGGAATTACTAAAAATTTGATACACACAGAGAAATTTTTAGACCATATTTAAAAATTTTACTATTTGGTGTTATTACTCATATTACAGTTAATCAGATTGGTTCTGTTTTACTAATTGATATTTTCAGTTATAGTAAGTGAAGTGTTTGAGATATGACATAAAGAAATTGATTGAAAATTAAGAATGCTGGGAATGTTATCGAGAGCTCATAATATCATCAAATTTTTTAATGTATTTCAATTGAAAATAACTCTCTTAAAGCGATATATCATTCTTAAAGATTTGTAACCTCTTAACATATTGTTAAAATATCGAAACTTTAATCAGTATTAAAGAAGGGGAGAAAATCTGAAAGCTTTCGTATTTTATATTACGTCCAAAGAGGCTTTTTTTTAAAGTTTTGTGAGCTACCTTTATTTATTAAATATCATGTTCTTCGCCATTAAACCACAAAAACTCAATTCAAGAGCAGTATCACAAAATAATTTAAAAAGAGCATATATTTAGAATTTCCGATACACAGTCTCGCGTGGAGATAACTTATTTTTCGTACGGTGTTGAAATCATTGACTTTGTTAATCAAAAATTCGTTAGTTTTCAAAATACGAAATAGATAATAAAACAAATTTCAAACTCCAAATTTGGGCTTCCAGATTCTCATATTCGAGTAGGGGACTACGTTATTCAAAATTTGATGTCTGCAGGTACCGTGGTTTTTTTACGGTGCAGAAATATACATACATTCATGCGGATTCTTCATTATTTAATTTCTTTAAATATAATGCAGGACTCTAATATTTGGTGGCAACAATTAGAAAAGTGAAACGCCGCTTACAGTGAACCAACGCAAATTGCCCAAACGAAATTAATAGCCCCTCTGGCGAAATTGCCCCTTTGGGTTAAAAAATGATTTTAATTTCTGCATACCTTAATTTAATACAAACATAAAATATGTAAATAAATAAACGTTTAATTTTACTTGACTATTAAAATAATACTAGTGAATGATATGGATAACTGGGTTTCCAGCTATCGAACAAATATAGATTTTCAAAATAACTACTATAACTAAATAACATGGAATTAAAAAAATAAATGCCAGTTGCGGGTAGGAAAAAAAGGACTCACCTTAAATGCAGAGACATCTCTAAGAGATGATCTTCGGAAATAAAGCTCAGAAGTATGTAGTAGTTGGGCTGCTGATATATATTCTGGAACCCATAGTTTAGTAGCACCAACACATTTCCAGGCCTTCTTCGAATCAATTTTTGTATTTCTTTTTTAAGAAAGAATTCTTTTGTCTGAACAGTCGTGATGAAACGGTTTGCTTTTCGCAAATGGTGCAAAATGTACTTCGTTACAGCGGGATCAGTTTCCAAGAACAGGTATGCTGCGACTTGCCACGAGGTGCATACCATATGAAAGAAGTCAGAGACAACATCGGAATCTGGATAATCTTTGTCGAAAAGAACTTTTACGAATTCGCGAATTGCTACCAATCTTAAAGGCTCCAGGATTTTATCTCGCAGTGGCTGCGAACTCACAGTGTCAGTGACTGCTGCACCACCTGTAGAAGTAAGATATAAAGATTCCTCCACATAATCATAATTGTATGCCTTCAAAAGCTTTAAATAAAACCTTGCGGTTATCATCTCGCCATTCACTGCAAATGTTTCTAGTATTTTCCTGCGAAAATCGCGAAAGACTGTGGCTGACTCGGCAGCCTTTAAGACATTCATTCGCTCCGTTGTTCTGAATATTCGAACGAATGGTCCATTAGGCACAATAGGTTTAGATACGGGTCCCAAATTCAGGATTGAAACCAGTCTTTTAGGTTTGTTTCCAGGGCAAAATTCAGGGACACTTAAGTCCAAATATGCCACTGAACTGGCATCGCTGACCCAGAAAGCACTCATATTTAACGTAATATGAAAAGTCTTAGTCGTTAATAAAAATATTTCAATTCACGTTTTGTATGTAATACTGTCTTTGCGTTCAAAGCAAATCGCATAAAACCAGAGGCAGCTTTCTAATATCATGAACTAACTTAAGCAGAGGAGACCTTAAATCTTGCGAAATTCTGCTATCTTTCCAGCTACGCTGGAAGACCATTGTGCCTGGCACTGTGTTCTATATACAACAAAAGCACTTAAAGAACGCACACTAATAAGATAAGCGACTAAGGAAATGTGAAATCCTGTTAATTCTCTAAGGGGTTGATTTATATAAAGAGTATCTTTCAAGTTTGCTGGGGTTGTTAGTGAGGGAGTAATTTAGGATAAGAATTTCGTTTGCTTAAGCATTTCAGTTCTGTGCGTCATCAGCATTTCATTTATTGCCTTACTAGTCTTAAATGATGTCAGTAAGCCTTTGATCTGAGGCAAGGAGTTGTAAGACGTTGTTTGATGATCATACCATAGTGACTAAGAGGAAAACCACTTAGTCAATATAATATATTTGCAATAGAACTAACTTAAGGTACTTAAAATAATTATTGTAACATAAATTTCTTGCTGTTTATACATAATGCAATCCAACAGTTCTGTATTTTCAAAACCGAAGACAATTCATCCCGATCCTAAACAGTGATGTGTTTAGCTATCCTTTCAAGGAATACAGTATATTTATTGCTATTTATTAGATTTCATCGATACACATTAGAGGAGCTACGTGAGTTATTTGAAGATTAGCTTCTAGAATACCTCCTAAGGGACAATGGGTCCTGTTTACGTTGCGCATGGGGAAAATTACGAAACTTCCCACGCAGGAAATTTCTTAACGGGATCCTAGGACAAATTACCTAGATTCAGCAATCTAAGGCATGTAGATCTAATATACTCAGATTCAGTAGGAATATTTATATACATATGTGTATACCATATAAAGTTCTAGTTTTGATTAGTTATAGTTCTTTAAGTCTCCTTTTCTTATTTGGATAGTTTCGCTTTCAGCTCTGAACATAACAGTTCTATAATAAATCTCTCTGAGTTAGGTTAGGCCCACCAGCGGGCGAGCGGTAAAGTCGCTGAACACTGGCAGTTCGGTCCGAGGTTCGATTCCCGCGAACGGGCTGGCTGCATGGGCGTTTTCGTGGTTTTTCCCATGTGTAACTGTATACGAGTCAGTTCCCCTTACAAAGTCCTCCACGAAGGCATTCCTCCCCTTAGAAAGTCCTCCACGAAGGCATGCCTCCCCTTAGGCAGATAGCCCTCGTGTGCTTTGCCATAACTCAACACATCAACACCAACACGCCATGACTTCCGTTTTCTTTCATAAACTGGATGACTTTGCATTTGGCATCCCTCCCCTTAGGCAGATAGCCCTACCGAGCTTTGCCGTAATCTCAATAAACCAAACCAAAACTGAGTTAGGTTATTTATAATTAATCCCTCTCATATGATTATTATGTAACGCTCGTGACGCGTGTATTTATGAAACGAAAAAAAATTAGTTTTAGCGAATAATGATGACAAATTTTGCAAACCCAAACTTTAATTAACTAGTATAGAGAAAAAGCAGAACTGTAACTTTACTAACATCCACATTGCAATGTATGCATTTCTTCTCTGGTTTCTGCTGTGCAAACATGCAGTTCACCGCTTCTCTTCTTCACTTCAAATATATTGTTTTCAGTCTGTGAAAAGCACAGACGTAATCGTTGAAGAATGAGCTTGCGTATTACGTCAAAATATAATGGGCCTGCATATGAAATTTTATTAAATATTTAGCTGAGTCTCAAACTTTCTTCAAAGTTTTCTCAAGAATAAAATCGATTTTGATTGCTGTTACATATTTATTCAATATCTATGGTATCGTCTAAAAATTTTTTTATTCAATATATATTTTTTATTTATCGGTTTCTTATCTTTTTCAAATTTGAATCACTGTGTTTTAAATTTATCAATGGTCCCTGTTGTATTTTGACTTTTAAAGAGTTTACCAGATTATCTATAGTTTTAATTATTTATTTTATTTTTATATTGCTATCTAATGTGTTACCAGTTCAACAATGTATACTCACCCTTTATATTTAAATTTTACGCCAGTGACTTTTTGCAGAGTTAAAACAATAACATTTCAAGATGAATCATTTTAGAAATAATGACATCTAAATCACTGAAAATTCTAAATGAAAAATTAGAAATCGGCTGATATCCGTAATTGCGCTAAAGAAGTAACGGAAGTATAAAGCAAAATACTATTGTGAAATGTTCAAGAGATAAAATTCATCAAAGTAGACTATTGTTAACTTTCTAACAACTTAATTTCCTGCTAGAGGAATGGTGAGGTGAGAAGAAATAACAGTTCCCGCCGCTTATTAAACTCACTTGTTAATAAACTCAGTCGCTTATTACGATCAAATTTCGATTAACCAAAACTAATCAATAGGAGAAACCGCCATTTATTAAACTCATATCCGTTGCTTGTTAAACTCAAGATTAGAAAAGACTTCTTCTGTACAAGAATATTCTACTTTTAATTATCAAAACTTTTCTTAGTTTACTCATTTAACGTATTGTGGACCGTGGCTTTGTCATTCAGGCGAGTAATACTTAATAAAACGGGTTTGACCGAAATTTCCTGTCCTTGCACTTTTGAGACACTGTTTTCAAAGTTTTTTGTTGGTTCAGGTGCGATGCAGAAGGTTTCTTGGGTACACGCAATGACTTCGCTATCCCAGTTAACTATTTTCGAACAGATATTAGTTCATAACTCACTTAGTGATCGGAGAAGTCCAAAATCATGAAGGAAGCAATTATAGCATAACGAGGAAAAGCAGTAAAAGTTCAAACGTCATGGTTTTCATCAGTGACGAACGAAACTTCGTTTTAACACCAACTGGGTAATGCCCAAAATGTTCTTTGTCCGCACTTAAAGAGAAAAGTTCAAAGAGGCAGAATTTTCTTATCTTAAGATTATCAAAATCAGTCTTACAGAGCAGGGGTTTTCAACCAAGCGGGAATTCCCCCCAGGGGAGAGCTTCAAGGGGTAGATAAGGTCAGTCTTTTATTGATCTCTTAAGTATTTGTGGCTAAAAAGGTTGAAAACCACTGCCTTTGAGGAGCATTGCAAATGAATGAATCAAATTCCCTATCGAATAACAGCTGAAGCTTTTGAATGGAAAGGAAGTGGTGACTAAACTGTATGTACTTGAACAAAGCTGTAGCAAAGCGTCGACATTTCAATGGGAGAACTTGCGCTTCGAAGCGACCGCAGCGCTCGAAGCGGTTGCGATATGGAAACAAAATCAGTAAAACTGCACCTGCTCCTTTTCTTTTCAGTCATTGGATATTCATTTTGATTTTGTTTCGCTTCTTTTCCCGCCACAGCTTTGAACCAGCTTTTGCAAAAATGCCGTACGTGCAAAAAGTGTGTGTGTGTATTTAATTATGGCAAAGCACACTAGGGCTATCTGCCTATGGGGAGGGATGCCTTCGTGGAGGACTTTCTAAGGGAAACTGGCTCGTATACACGTTACACATGGGGAAAACCACGAAAACGCCCATGCAGCCAGCCCGTTTGCGGGATTCGAACCTCGGACCGAACTACCAGTGTTCAGCGACTTTACCGCTCGGCCACTGGTAGGCCCGTACGTGCAAAAAAGATTTTGTCAAAATTAGATAGATTACATGTCTACAGATTTCCTATAGAAGAGCAAAGGTTAGTACTTGATTATTTTACACTTTTGTTATTTGTAAGCGGATTAGAAATGTGATTATTTTATATTTAAGCGTGAGAATAATTTTTTTTTTTTTTTTTTCTATTCTGCGTGGCATGGTTTATATATGTAATAACTTACTTATCTCTTTTTCTACAATATATGGCTGTGTGTCCATTAAATCTATTGGTTTACCGCACTGCAGAAAAATCCATATGACTTACAGCAAGCATTTTCTCAGCAACATTTAATTTTACAGAGGGGACTTGCATTAAAAATAAGCATTTTAGTAATCTTCTTTATTTCATTTATGTAACAATTTTTTATGAAAAATATACTGGGTTTTAAAATGATTTTAAAAACTGAATAATTTAACACTTTAATGCCCATTTTCCAGCTTTTACTAGTATATTTGCCATAAAAAATTAATAAGTCGTCTCAAAATTAATACTTTTGAGAAAGAAATTTAAGAATAAAATTGCTCAAAAATTATGAAAATCTTCCTAAAATGCACCTATGCTATATTTAACAAAAAATAAAATGATCCAAATAGTTTCTCTGAAATCCTCTAAAATATGAATTATTGATAAAATGAGGGAATGACATATTACTATTAAAATGATGATAATTCATCAGACATTTATACTCATCACTTCCATCAAAATGCATGTTTTTGGCAACCTCTTTTGCTAGAAAATTGATTCTGTTATAAATACCTAAGAAAAATGTGTTTTTAATTATCTGCAATTATCCGTTAGAGAGTATACAATTAACACGCGAATAAATAGTAAAAACTTAATAAGATATTTAATATTTTGAAGAATATTACAGTAACCTAAGATCCTTGAAATCTGAGTTTAGAAAATTTTGCTATAGCATCTTTGAAATTTGTGCTATTCATCTAGCAATCTTTCCAAAAACATTAGTTGCTTAGAAATTGCATATTTTGCTATCTGACTACTGTTATTTCCGTGACACGCAGATCTGAGGTACCATCAGTTTTGCTATATCATAGAATAAAATTTTGCGTTATGTAAGCAGTTTATTGTTTATTTTCTAAACAACAGCCGCATATAAAAGCGAAAATTTATAATACAATGTAATGGTAATATCTGCCATTATTTGTGGAAAAATTTCAACAATACAATGATCGATCAGTGGAATTTGGGAGTTAGTTATTGCGAAATTCCTCCTTATTACTCATTACATTACCCCAAAAATATGTGAAGGGTGATATAAAATTAATTAAATTATAAAAATAAAACTTAATAACGAAAGTTACCAATATACCAAACTCGAGGACATGAGAAATAATAAGAATAATAAACTAACTATTCGTTCTAATGCACGCTAATTCTATACATATATATGACTCATACCTACTGAAAGCGAATATATGCCGTATTCTCGAATATAAGCTGATACGTGTATGAGCCGAGAAGTAACATTTTATTGCAAAATTTAGGGCAAATTGAAAAAAAGTGTTAAAAAAAAT